CGACGAGCTGCCCCACTACGGCGGCATGGAGGGGGTGGGCATCCCCACCACCATGTACGGGGACCCCCACGGCGCCCGCCCCATGCAGCCCGTGCACCACCTCAACCACGGGCCGCCGCTCCACTCGCACCAGTACCCGCACGCCGCCCACGCCAACGCCATGCCCCCCGCCATGGGCGCCTCCGTCAACGACGCCCTCAAAAGGGACAAAGATGCCATCTACGGGTAGGTGCCGCGCCCGCGCAACCTCCGCGCAGTGTGGTCCCCCCCACACCCCACCCCACCCCTTCGGGGGGACGCCCCCTGCGCGGGGGGCGAGGGCTGCGCGCTTTTGGGGAGAGCCGGGGGGGAAAGGGGGAGAGAGGAAGGCTCGGGGATCCCCCTCCCGAAGGGGTTTGGGGTGTCCCCTCCCGCAGCCGGGATGAGGAGGAGGGAAATGTGCCCGGCGCGCAACCTGCGCCCGGTGCGAAAGCTGCGCCCGGGAGCGCTGCGCCCGATTTTCGGGCCATTTTCGGGCCGTTTTCGGCCGCAGCAAAGAGAGGGGGGAAATCCCGGGCCGGTTCCCTCGACCCTTGTTCCTTTTTATAACCCGCTTTTGGTGTCACTGCGGCTGGGGGGATTTTTGGGAACTTCGCAGCCACCAGCGCCCGCCGCCCCTCGGTGCGCGGCGGGGCGCAGAGCGGGTCCTAGGCCGGTGCGCTGGGGTTTGTAGGGCGGCCGCTGCTTTCCCAAGGCATCTGCCCGGGGTCGAGCCGAAGGGAAGTCGGAGAGCCTCTTAAAATCGCTCTCAAAACAGTTGCGTGCTGCAGCGAGGGGGTGGGCGGGCAGGCAGGGGGGAATCACGCCGTCCGCTTTCTTTATCGGGTTATCAGGGATCTGTAGGGCTGCTTTCAACTCGGTGCTGCACGGGTACCCTCCAGGAGAGAAAAAAAAAAAAAAAAAGTTAAAAAAAAAATAAAATACGAAGCCCTGGAGAGGAAGAAAAAAAAAAAAAAAAGCAACCCCCCAAGTCCCCGTTATAAATACCCTTATAGATGCGTGTGTGCCCACGCTTAAAGCTTTATTTAAATTATTAAGCGGCCGAGGGCAGGCAGAGGAAGGTGCAGGGCACTGCCTGCCAGCACCTGGCTCCCTCCTGCACGCCGGGCGCTGCGCGGAGCCGGGAGCCTGGGTTTGTGCCCCTGGGTTTTGGGGGCACGGGGCTCTGGTTTTTCTTTTTTTTTTGGGGTAGCGGAGCAAGGGGGTGGCAAAGGGGTCTGGGTGCTCCTGGTGGGTTTTTGTTGTTTTTTTATTACGATTTATTTTTTTTAATTTTTTTGTTCGCTCCCAGAAAGTCGTCCGGCGGAAAATGGGAATTAAAAAAGCGAGAGAGAGGCAGAAGTGCACGTCCGTAGATGCTGCTTCTTTTTATTATTATTATGACTATCATTTATTTCACTTATTTATTTATTTAAAAGAAGGGAAAAAAAAAAAAAAAAGAGAGAGGGGGAGAGAGAGAGAGAGAGAGGAGACAAGGAAAGTTAATTCAAAATGGCTGCTGGAAACCGCTTGGGTTTTTATTCTTAGCCTGTCCTAAGGGTCCCCAGCGCGGCCGCGGCCGGGGCGATGCGCGGTTCCCAGGGCTGCGAGCCGCGGCCGGGAGCAGGATGGGGCCCCTCGCTCGGTGCCCCCCCTCCGCACGCAGGCTGCTTGCGGGACTAACTATTGTTGTGTTTGTTTTCTGTTTCGTTGTTGTTTTTTTTTTTTTTTTTCTTTTTTTCTTCTCTCCTTCTTCTCCTTCTCCCTCTGTTTGTGTGTGTGTGACTATTGTATTTTCTTTCAGACACCCCCTGTTCCCTCTTTTAGCACTGATTTTTGAGAAATGTGAATTAGCTACATGCACACCCAGGGAGCCCGGGGTAGCGGGAGGCGATGTTTGCTCCTCTGAGTCTTTCAATGAAGACATAGCAGTGTTCGCCAAACAGGTCAGCAAAAAAAAAAAAAAAAAAAAAAACGGGTTGAAAAAGTAAAAAAAAAAAAATCGTAACGAGAAAAACAAGTCTCTGCTGAGATAAAGATGCGCGTTTCCCCCGCCCCCCTCTTACCGAGAGAGGCAAAAGCAAACCAAAACAACACCCCCACCCCCCAAAAAAAAACAACAACAAAAAACCAACACCCCGAAATTAATTAATTAAATAAATAAAATCGGGAAATCTCGGCATCTGCACCCCCGTAACTGAATGAGCTCCTGGGAGCCAGCCTGCCCAGCCGCGGAGCTCCGCTGCGGGAGCCGGGCCGGGGCTCAGCCTCGGCAGCTCCGTAGGTATTTGGGGTGTATTTGATTCACTTGTTAAAGTGTTTAGATGATGCACTAAATCCAGCAGGCAGAGCTTTGCACGAAAGGTTACATAATGGACCCGACAGTGTAATGAAGCAAGAAATAATAACGTCTGCTTTTTCTGCTTCCATATTTCAAATCTCTCTCTTTTTTTTTTTTTTTTTTTTCCCTTTCCTCCCCTTTCTTATATTTAGATCCGAGCAGAGAAACCCCTATTTTCCTCTAATCCTGAACTGGATAACTTGGTAAGAGTTAACAACACTTCTTCCTCTCCCCACCCCCACCTCTACCCTCCCTTCCCTTCCCTTCCCTTTTTTTTTTTTTCTTTTTTAACTTTATGTCTTCTGGAGAGGTGGTTGCGAGCTTTGACAAGCGTTTTGTAGTGCCAAATTGAAAATTTCTCACGTGGATCTTCTTTTCTTTTTTTTTTTTTCCCCCCCTTTTTTATTTTTTTTTAAATTGCAAGTAAATCCAGCGCGGTAAATCCCGTGTGAGTAAAAGTTAATTAAATAAATAAAAAAAATAAAAACCCATCAGGCTGCGAGCGGCACCCAAATGGGGGCTTTGCGGGCTTTGTGGCCGGCCCCCGGGGGTGTCTGTAGGGCAGCCCCTGCCGGCACCTTGGAAGCAGCTGGAGGGGCAGGGGATGGAGATGCACCATCTCGCTCGCCCACCGCAAACACGCTCCTTTCTCTCCCCTATTCCCCCCCTTCCCACTTAAGGATAAACAAATATTTTATCCTCCGCTCAAGGAGGCGTTTTCCCGCTTTTGTAGAGCGAGGACCCAGCGACGGTGTTTAGAGGGATTTAAAAAAAAAAAATGTTTATGATCCGTATAATTCAGTTGCTTCGTTGCAACAGAGATTTTATTTTATTTTTTTTTTGCTTAGCCCTAGATCGCTTCTCGTTAAACAGCGCACAAAGCCACCGCTATTAAGTTTTAGTGTTATTGCCATAAATCAAAACAACTTTTTATTTACTACTAAAGAAAAGTCAAGCTGCAGAGTATGGCCGGGGCGGCTGTGGGGAATATCCCGAAATCCGGGACTGAGATAAATTCTCGTGTTGTTTGTATCTTTGCAGATGATTCAAGCCATACAAGTATTAAGGTTTCATCTGTTGGAATTAGAGAAGGTAATTTTTGTCTCTCTCTTTCTTCCTCCTACGTTTCAGTACTGCTGAAGTTCAGGCTTCTGGTAAATTTGCATAAATGTCTTTCTTTCTGGTAATTAGTGTCAAGACCAATCTTGGCGTCCATTTCTCTTCGCAGTTTAATTACAATTTCAGCCTCTAAAACCGGGCTCTCAAACGCCCAGGCCTTGTGTTCATTGTAATACTTTGCTGCCTTTGTATAAATAGTTGCAGTTCTGTGTGCTGCAGATGAGGCTCCAAACGGTGTTTGTTTGTTGTTGCAGCCAAGCCCCCGAATTTGTGATATTGTTATTTTTATGATTTATTTTTTTTCACCTCCCCCCCTTTTGGGTGATGGGGAAGATGCTTTGTTTGCTTGCAGTTAGTTGGGACGAGGATTTTTTTTTTTTTTTTTTTTTTTTTTAAGAGCCATCTGCAGGTCAGGCTCAGGGCACGGATTGTCCTGTAACATTTTGCAGAGACAAAGCAGAGTTGATAGTTGTGTCAGTGTCTCGTTCCCGGGAATATTGTACACCTCCGAGCAGAAGAAAGAGATTGCAGCCTAAACCCAGTTTTCGGCGCTATTTTGGAAATGCTAGCAGCGAGAATGCTAATTTGCAATAGCGCGGTGTCACCCGAGCTAACATTAAATTGGAAGCGCGCTCTGGTTTCCTGCGGATTTTTTACATGTCATTGATAGCTGGCCTAGGAGAGAATTCCCTTTCTCCTAAAAATAAACATTTTGAGAGGTTTTTAAATAGTTGAAAAGTTTCTCGGGAGCCTCAGCCACTTTATCTAACCATAACTGGCAGGTTGTTCTCGCTCTACATGAAATGTGTTAAAATCTGCCCATTAATAGAGGCAGCTCAGGTACAAGTCTGTCAGAGCGGCTGGGGATTTCAGGGCATGGATGCCTATAATGTATTTCAGCACAGTGCGTCGGGATTTTTTTTTTTTAAATCCTTTTTTCTGTCCTCATACCCCTTTGGAAAGGGTTTATGATGAAATAACTGGATGAAATTAAATAGTTTACCTTAAATGTCACCCATGCAGGTCACCTCTCTAATGGCCACAGCTCCGGGAGCAGATGAATTTAACACGGGTGTTGAATATGTTGTAGCCTGTGAATCATCTTGTCACTGTCAATTTTCTGGGATATCTCTATTTTGCGAGAAAAGAAAGTTATTCCTAATTCTGGATGCGTCGAGAGGTCTCGGGGGGATAATTGCAGTGTGTTTCCCCTATTTAGGACTTTTGATGTCACAGGGGTGAAGGGGGGAGACTGGTTGCACTTGTCAATTTTACTTATGTATTCCTGATTATATTTTCTTCCTTTTTCCTCCCTTTTTCCCTTTTCCTCTTTTTTTTTTTTTTTTTTTCCTCCTTCACCTCTGTCATAATGTAGGTACACGAATTATGTGACAATTTCTGCCACCGGTATATTAGCTGTTTGAAAGGAAAAATGCCTATCGATTTGGTCATAGACGATAGAGAGGGCGGATCAAAATCGGACAGTGAAGACATAACAAGATCAGCAAATCTAACAGATCAGGTATGATCTCGCCAATGCTGCACACGCTGAAATTTGTATGCAGATCGCTCGCTGGGTCACTATGCCTCCTTTTATTATTTGCATATGATTAAGTCCCTTTTAGATAAATTTCCATCGAAATGAAAATTTTTGAATAATGTGGCTATTATTGCTTCATTAAGGCTTGCTCCCGGATTCGACCTGGCGAGATGAGCTTGTAAAAGCATTGCCTGCAAACTCGACCTGTTTCTTGTCGCTTTTAATTTTTGTCTTTATTTTATTTACCCTTTACAATAATAGAAGTGTTATCTGTGAATCGCTGGCTTCTGGTGGCTTAGAAAAGGAATGGCTGGAGCCGTTTACAAAAATAATAATAAAATCCGAGATAGGTGGTCCGGGGAAGACAGAGAGGGTTTGAAATCTAGCAAATACTGGCTATTTTCTTCCCGTCTCTACGGTTCATTAGTCTGTCTTGTCAGTTTTCCTTGGCCGAACGCTTTTAGACTTCAGTGAACATTGCTTTGTGCACGCCTGCCTGCTGCAAACGCGCCCATTTTATTTTACTTAATAGAAGTAAAAAAAAAAAAAGGGGGGGGGGGGAGGAGAAAATAAAACGGGACCCAGGTTTTAAATTATTTTCATTGCTCTTTCAAGTTTTCAACCCGTCTCTTCCCCTCCCCAAGAAAAGGTAGAAACCCCAACCAAGCCACCAAGGTGTTGCGTGGCTTTGACGGTGTCCAGGTTTTGTCTGGGATGGTTCAAACCTTAATGCCTGCTGTACCCGATGTGCGAAATAGAGATGACTTTAGGAAGCTTTCTTCCCCTTCTCCCCTCCCCTTGTTTGGTGTGTGTGTCCCCTCGGCGGGCTTCTGCTGTGATCCCTTCCCTTTGATGGGAGCGTTTGGGGCTCAGGCGGGAGGCTCCCAACGCTAAATTAAGCTCGTGCATCATGGAAGTGGCCGCGATTTGGCTTTTTCGGGTCGTGGAAAACTGCGGGCTTTGCACGGTCGCCTTTCCATCCCCTTTCTTTCGCTCAGTCGGAGGGTAGCAGCGCTTGGGCTGCGGGAGGGGAGGGGTGGACCCCGACCCCAAATCCGCCACTGGAAACCAAAGTTATTTCTTCTGTATGATCTGCTTCGTAAATACAGTCTTAGGAGTAATCAGCTCCCGACTCTGGAGGTTTCCTTTTGTTAAAGCAAGGCGCAGTCAAGCAGACAGGAGTTCCCTTTAGCCGCCGTGCCAGGCTCCCGGGCGCTGTTTTCTGGGTTACCGACACGGAGGCGCAGGGCTGGGGGCTTCGGGGGGGGCTTCCAGTTCGGGTCCTCCCCCCTCCTCCCCGAGTTTCTCTGCGAAGGGGGAAAACGGCGGGGGGGAGGCGCCGGGGGGCCCCGTGGCGATGCTGCTGGGGGACACCGGGACCCCCTCGGCACCGGGAGGGGGGACACAAGGGGGGGGGGGGGCGGCGGCTAGGGTCGGGCTGAGGAAAGCCGGGCTCGCCGCTGGTGAATAAAAATTGTAATCCAACAAGTCTAACTAGAAAATGGGTTTCTAAAAGCTCTGGAGTGCTGGGTACATAAAGCTATTTGAGCAAATTACAAGAATCGCTTAGGGGCACGAATGAAATCAACACTTTAATTGCCTCCAAAATGAAGATTTATACCCCATTTTCCCAACGAATCATTATTTTATTAAAGCGAAAGCTAAAGGAACGAAGCTGTAGTTTTAGGGTTGTCGCGGGGAGGGGGTCCCCGTCCCGTTTCCCCCCCCTCGTCCCCCCGATTTGTCGCCGGGGCCGCGGTCCTTGCGCTCCGGCGCCGGGCGCTGCGCGGGAGTTGCGCGGGCGTTGCGCGGGGCCGGGCGGCCCCACCGGGGCCCCCCGCGCAAGAAGCGCGCAGCCCCGCCGCTGCTGCCCCCCCGGTGCCCCCGGGGGAGCGACCGGTTAGTAGGAAACCCTATTTTCCTCCCCCTAACCCGGCCCCGGATTAGGGGAAAAAGGCGCAAAACTGCGCGGCGAGAGCCGCGGGGGTCGTGCCGGGGATGCGCGGCCGCCCGCGCCCCGGCGCCGCCGGTGCCAAGTCCGGCAGGACCTGGGCCCTAATGGGTGGCTAATAAGGTGTTGAGTGGTTGGCGCTGGGGCGGCTAATTAAGATGTCCCTCCGCGGTGCGTTTATGGCTGGAAGCGCGCGGTGTGCGCGGCCGGGCGGGCCGGGGGCGCGGGGGGGCCCGGTGTGCGCGCCTTTGTGCTATGGAGAGTCATAAAAGAGTAAGTATGTAAAAGCTTTTATTATGGATTTAATTACATTTTCGTATATCGTGGTAGTAAAGGTTACAGTTAACAGGGTTTTTTAATTTATTGGTTTCCCCTTATTTATTCTTCCCTTCTAGGCCCCTCCGTGGCAGCGCCTTTAAGTCCCCCCGCTTAATGGAAAGCAATGACACTAATGCCAGATTTTGCGCAGGAAAGCCCCATAACGCTAACCATTGTTCGGTGATTTAACTAGCTCGGTGGCAAGAGGTCACTAAAATAGCATCCTTCTCCCACAGGCGCGACCCCGCTGCCTGCCAGGGTGGGACCTGCCGAGCTCTTGTTTACCGTCGCGCGTCCAGAAGGACAAGGCAGGGGTTTGGGGTTTTGCTCGGGCTAATTGAACTCGAGATCCCGCGGCTTTAAAAGCGTCGCTTGAACGATTGCGCCCATGGCCGGAGTTTCAAAATAAACCTTTTTTAATCATTAGCTTTTCAAACATTTGCATGTTTAAATTTTCAAATGTTTGTCGCGGTCCGGAAAGATTTAAAACACAGCTGTTGCGTGATGCGGCTGGGAAAGCTCCGTCCTATACAAAACCCCACAGACTGTCCGCAGTCGCACTGAAGAAACTCGGTTTCTTAGGGACTCCGGATACACTGAGCTGGCACCGTGGGGCTGTTTTCCTTAATTTGCTTCACCTTGGCTCCCAGGTGCTAGAGCCCACACTGTAAGAGGCTGTGACGCTTTCCTCCCAGAGTGCGTCTGCAGGAATCCTTCCCAAAGCCCTGTAAGGCAAGCAGGGTACAAAGTAGCCACCACACTCAAATGAAGTAGGTTAGCAGCCTGAGATGGCTTTTCATGGAGGCAAAACAGTGTTTTCTTAGGTGAAATAAAGTCGTTGGGCGAATGTGCCATAGTGTTTCTTGACAAAATTATAATTTAATCACGCGCAAGCCAATTACTTGTGCAGAAATTCTTAAAGGAAAATCGGCAAACGGCCAAATTCCTATAGGGACGCGGAGGGAAATGATCAAAAAATGAACATGAAATAAGACTTCCTGTAAGAAGGTCCATAATTCAACATTATTTGACTCCACTGTCAGGGAAATTGTTGAAGGATAGTAAACTGATACTAGAGTCTCAGTCATTTTTGTTACAGTCTTAAATGTTTGCAACTGTGGCATTTTAGATGGCCCTTCTTGGATGATAGTATATCATATATATATATGTATATAATAAAGCAAACACTTGTATTTATGTTGCAATAGATTTTTTTAATGCATGCAGTTGCAGAGTTTCTCTAAACAAAATGCGGATAGACAGCAGCTTTTTTTAAAAATTGAAAGATTACTTAAAATGCAGCCTTCTTTGCAAAGAAAACATCGTAAACTGGAATGCATTATACGGCGCGTCAGAAGGCGGATGGGTTGTTCAGGGCATTTACCAGTTAGGACTAGGATAACTTTCCCAAACGTTTCAAATATATTAGGTATTCCTTGTGGCCAATACGAAAATAATGTCATAGGGGACAAAAAAGAAAAGACTGACAAATACTGTTTTGCTTGGGGACTTCTTCGCAGGTATTTTCAAACCATGTATGGCTTTAAGGGGTGGGAAGAGCTAGGAATTTTACTGCCTTCGGTGTACGTACTCCCATATTGGAGGAACAGGCATCCAAATAATGGATGCAGTACAGAGAGTGCAAGGTAGACTTCATTTCTGCATAATGAAAGAGTTACAGCGAAGTAGGGCTCTGAGGAGACCCAATAACATAGGGTTTAAAACCCTCAAAATTAAATGTTGTTTCTCTGACTTTTTGCCACCGTGAGCCAGTGAATCCTTTTTTTGTTGTTGTTGTTTTTTGAGGGGGGGTGTAATTTTTTTTCGCTGCAATATTTAGGAGCTGTTACCATGCCTGAGCTCGGCAGACTGTTTAGTGTAAAGATAGGGCAAGTTGATTTATATTCGGGACCTGTTATCATCAGAAACACTGTGACTGAAATCGTGTTAGCAAAATAAGGTTTTCTTTGCTGCCTGTTTCTTTAAGCAAGTAAATATACTGCTAAACAGATAGGAGATTGAGCGTATTTTCTTTAGTCTATGATTTCATTTAAATTCAAGAATCTTTGCTGATTTTTTTTAATTGTTTGTGAGCACAAACACATCTGTCCTCACTCTTGGCTATGATATTTGCTCCCTTCCTTAGGTTCCTTGCGCAGGCCTAACTCCCGCGTAAAATTTTCCAAACTGGAGTTTGCAAAGCATTATTTCCATTCTCAATTCTTTTTTGCATCCTTTGCAAAATCAAACCCCAGGAAACCCTGGAACTTGTAACACGCGCTCACGAGGGAGCGTATCCCGAGGCATTCCCCTAAGTGGGAACTCATGGTGTCCTCGCGTTTCAGAGCGGGCTGCTGAGGTGCAGATTGTTATTTTGGGGCAGCTTGGAGATGGGCAAGTCAGTTGTGCAAAAATGGGGTTTGCCTTAGGTTTAGCTCTTGTGTGTGGACGTTTGGTTCTTCCCTTGCTGCTCGCATGCAGGTAGCAGCAAAGGTAATGGACTCTGGATGTGCGCACGCGGCGGGGTCACTGGAGCCCGGAGCGGGCAATGTTAGCACTGGAAAAATCAGATTATAACACACTCAATCAAAATGAGTAAGCGTACGTTGTGCTGATAAATACTGTTTTAAAATAGCAGTTTAAAACGTAGAGAAAATCCGGCACAGCTTCTTTAAATTAAGGAGTCTCTTTTTTTGTTTTGCATTGCTGTGTT